CTTCCTTCCTTCTTCCTTCCTTCTGTCCTTTCTTCCTTCCTTCCTTCTTCCTTCCTTCCTTTCTTCCTTTCTTCTGTCTGTCTTTCTTTCAGACAGGGTCTTGCTATGTAGCCCAGGCAATCCTCCTGCCTCAGCCTCCCAAGTGCAGGATTATAGGTTGCACCATCACATCTGGCTAGAGGAAGCTTTCTTAATTTTATAAAGGGGAACTATGAAAACCTTATAATTAACACCATACTTAATGGCAAAAGACTGCTTCCCCCATGGATAAAGAATAGTCCAAAATATCAGTACTCATTGTATTAGACCCTTTTCCCATGCAGATTGGAAGGAAGAGAAGACATGAATCTCTCTGCAGAAAAATCATGAGGATGCCACAGAGATTGCATAAAGAAAGAGCAGGCTAATAAAGAACCAAGTACCTAAAGCTACAGTGATCAAAAGAGTGTGTTTCTGGCTTAAAGAAAACATACAAATAAATTAAACAAAAAAAGGAAACCAAACCAGGCACTGGTGGCTCACGCCTGCAATCCTAGCTACTCAGGAGACAGAGATCAGGAGGATCACAGTTCAAAGTCAGCCCAGGCAAATAGTTCACAAGACCCTATCTCAAAAATACCTAACACAAAAAGGGCTGGTGGAGAGGCTCAATGTGTAGGCCCTGAGTTCAAGCCCCAGTATCACAAAAAAAAAAAAGAGGAAACAAGGCATGGTAGCACATGCCTGTAGTCCCAGCACTCAGGAAGCTGAGGCAGGAGGATCCAGAGGTTAAGTCCAGTCTGGGATACATAGAAAGACCTCAGCTCAAGGACAAACCAAAAGAATTGTTGTTTTCACTCATCTTTTTGGGACAGGAGTTCATCCAACAGCTCAATAAAATGCAATGTGAGCAGGCACTAGGCAGGCACTCTACTATTTGAGCCACACCCTCAGCTCTTTTTGCTTTAATTACTTTTCAGATAAGGTCTCTGCTTTCTCCTGGGGCCAGGCTCAGGTGGAAATCCTCCTATCTCTACCTCTGGGGTAGCTAGGATTACAGGGATTTGTCACACCTGGCCCCAATACCCCTGTTTCTAAAAATCTCCCTTACTTACATTTTGAAGACAGATGGAAGCCTTGATCTTAAGGAGTGATATCCTGGGTGGAGTCTTTCTCAGGTTCAGAGAAAAGGACACTGCAGTGTGGACTTCATCCCTTGAGAGCAGGTGCCTGCTCACCTGGACCAACTCACCACAGGAGGGGCCAATGACACGATCTTAATCTTCTAGAACTCAAACTGCAAAGTGGATGACAAACTGAAATTCATGTGTGAGGAATGGGATGTGAGTCAAAGTCATAGACCTGCCTAGGAAGTACCAAGCCTGTGTCTAAACCCCAAGACCACCGAAGGAAGAGGAGGAAGAGGAGGAGCAGATGGAGGAGGAGGAGGGGGAGGAGAAGGAGGAGGAGGAGATGGAGGAGATGGAGATGGAAGAGAAGGAGATAGAGGAAGAGGAGGAGGAGAAAGAGGAAGAGATGGAGGAGGAGGAAGAAAAATGGGAGAGGAGGAGGAGAAGGAGGAGGAAAAGATGAAGGAGGTGATGAAGGAGATGGAGATGAAGAAGGAGGAGGAGGAAGAGGAGATGGAGGAGAAGGAGATAGAGGAAGAGGAGGAGGAGAAAGAGGAAAAGATGGAGGAGGAGGAAGAAAAATGGGAGAGGGGGAGGAGGAAAAAAAGAAAAGAAACTGATGTGTGACAGCACAGATTTTGACACATGGTGACCCTGTAAATCCTCGGTAAGGTGTAATATAAAGACAGGAAATTCCTTAATCAGGCGTTATGGTTTGGATATGTGTTGCCCAAAGGGCTCATATGTCAAAGACTTGGTCCCCAGCTGGTGGATCCAATCGTCAAGAGGGGATTGGATCATTAGTGTTCTGAGCTAATCAATTGATTAACCCATCGACGGATTCAGAGCTTGGTTTTAATTACTGGGGGTATGTCTTTGAAGGGTATGTATGGTCCCTGACCCCTTCCTTTGGCTCTCTGCTTCCTGTCACAACACAAGCATCCTCTGCCACACAATCCCACCGCCATGATGTTCTTCCCAACGCAGAGGACTCAGCCAACCTTGGACTGAAGCCTCTGAAAGTGTGAGCCAAAATAAATCTTTCTTCCTTTAAGTTGTTTCTCTCAGTTACTTTGTCACAGCAATGAATAGCTGACAAGCCTGGACTTGGTACCAGGAGTGGGTCTTTGTTGTGGCTGTTCCTGATCTCATGGTTTGGGAGACTTTGGAACTGGTTTGTGGTAGAAATTTGGAAAAGTTTGGAGATGTGAGATAGAGGAAGCCTAGAGTGATACAAGCAAAGCTCAATGGGAGATTCTGGTGGGATGTGGGAGACCAGAATGCATACAGATAGGAAAGTGTACAGTAATGGTAAGGTTTCAGATGGGAAGAAGGGCTCTATTGGGAATTGCACCAGAGGCCATTTGTGTTACATTGTGGCAAAGAACTTATCCACATTTTTCCCATGCCCAGAGACTTTGTGGGAGGCTGTGTTTAAGGGTGATGGACTAATTTGGTTGTGAAATTTTCAAGGCAGTCAGTCTTCAGTCTGTAAGACAGGTACTGATAGCTGCTATTAAGCAGATTTACAACAACAATCAGAAGCAAAAAGCAGAGCAGAAAGATTTGCAAAGACTAGCAGTTTGGCCAGGTAAGTTGAGGCTGAGGACCGTGTGGCTGCTGAAGGGATTAACATAATTAGAAAGAACCAAAGGCTGGGGATATAGCTCAGTGGCAGAGCACTTGCCTGGTGTGTGTGAGATCCTGGGTTCCATTCCCAGCACTACAAAAGGGAGGAGGAGGTGGAGAAAAAGCCTAGTACTTTGTGCTGAGACAACAGGAAAGGTGCCTTAGGGGTATCTCAGGAATCAGCAAGAACCCACCTAGACAGCCTCAGGGTGTGAAAGTGTAAACTCACCTTGAGATGAGAACACTGAAGGGGCACCTTGCAGGCACAGGGTCACCTAGGGAGTTCTTCCTCCAGGATTCATTTCACTGTGCTCAGCCATATAAACATTCACAGACTGTTGCAGCCATGATCCAAAGGTTCCCAGCTACCACTCAAGCTAGTGGAAGACCTTGACGTTGTCCATGTGGTGCTGGCCATTCATGCATGATGAGTGCAAGAGTTAAGAGGTCATGGAGGCTTCCACAGGAAAACCTGGGAAGCCAGGCACTGTATGGCAGGGCCAGATCCATTCCCGCGCGCATCCCCTGGAAGGACAGTGTATGAAACTGTGAGAATGAAGCTGAAGACGACAGAGACTCCAGAAAGTCAGAGATGACAGGAATGTGGGACATCTGCTGAGGAAAGTCACGGGCACCAAGCGCAGCCAGCCCAGAAGAGAGCCCTGTGGGCTGCAGTCAGCAAGGCAGCAGCGGCAGGGCTTCCCAAGCCCTTTGGACTTTACATCATACCTGTGTGCCAGATGCCAGACAGAGAGTTACAGGATTTAATGTTTTCCCTGCTGGGTTTTGGTCTTGCTTTGGTCCTGTTCCTCCCTTTTAGAATGAAAATGTGTACCTTGTCCTCAATCGCATGTTGAAAGTACTTCGTAATTTGCTTTTTATTTTGCAGGGGCTCACAGCTAAGAGTTTGCCTTGAGTCTCAGAAGAAACTTTGAACTTGGGCTTTACAGCAAAAGCCATAACTCTTGAGACTTTGGGGACTCTTACAGATGTACCAGCTGCATTTTGCACTATGAGGTAGACATGAACTTTTGGGGGCCAGGGAAGGAATGTTATGATTTGGTTATGAAGTGTCTCCCAAAAGGCTCATATATGGAAGGATGGTCTCCAGTTGCTAGATCTAGTCATCAAGAGCTGATAGGGCTGGGTGCCATGGCTCACATCTGTAATCCCAGCTACTCGGGTAGCAGAGATCAGGAGGATCACAGTTTGAAGTCAACCTGGGCAAATAGTTCGTGAGACCCTATCACGAAAACCCCTACACAAGAACTTGTTCTGGCAGAGTGGCTCAAGATGAAGACCCTGAGTTCACGCTCCAGTACAACAACGACAACAAAAAAGAGGTGATTTGATCATGAGGGCTCTGACCCAATCAATTCTGGATCCATAATTTGATGGCATTATTGGGAAGCAGTGGGAACGAGGAGCTGAGGTCTGGCTGGAGGAAGCAGATCCCTGGAGGGCATTTGAAGGGTATTTTGTCCCTGTTCCCTTCTCTGCTTCCTGGCTGCCATGAGGTGAGCTGCCTGTTCCACCACAATCTGCATCACTGCACCCCAAGAAGCAATGAATGCAGCCAACAGTACACAGAAACCTCTGAAATGTAAGCCAACACGCACCTTGCCTCCTTTAAGTTGTTTTTCTCAGATATTTGGTCACAGAGATGAAAAACTGACCAGCAGCAGAACAGAGGCAGTCTGTGGGCCATCGTGAGAGCAGTTTCCCCTCCAACCCTATTGTCTCCCCAACGTCCCTCCATAGGACAGGCTCCAGGCCCGACAGCCATCACAGTCTTGTCATTAGAGCCAAAACCATGCATCCAACTGAGCCATTGGAAACGTGTCCCCTACAGGTCCTTGGGCCTTCCATAGGGAGCCAGCATCCTTTATCTGAAATTCAAAGCCTATTCCCAAATCCACCCCACTCCGGTCCTGTGCAGATCCACCTGGCCCACTGTGGGGCCAAGACTTCAGAAGGACAGGGCATGTGGCCCAGTTGGCAGGGGTAGCAAGGTAGTTGGTGCCAGCCCCATTCAGTGCACTGGGTCTTTGTAGAAAC